GACTTAGATGACGTTCAGAGCACATTTTATGCCCAATTCATGCAAAACTCCACGTAATCCCAAGGGGTTCACATACTTTTTCTTGCAACTGTGTATATATATATATATATATATATATATATATATATATATATATACATACATACATACATACATATATATATATATATATACATACATATGTACACAGTCAGGTCCATAAATATTGGGACATCAACACAATTCTAACATTTTTGACTCTATACACCACCACAATGGATTTGAAATGAAACAAACAAGATGTGCTTTAACTGAAGACTGTCAGCTTTAATTTAAGGGTATCTACATCCAAATCAGGTGAACGGTGTAGGAATTACAACAGTTTACATATGTGCCTCCCACTTGTTAAGGGACCAAAAGTAATGGGACAATTGGCTTTTCAGCTGTTTCATGGCCAGGTGTGTGTTATTCCCTCATTATCCCAATTACAATGAGCAGATAAAAGGTCCAGAGTTCATTTCAAGTGTGCTATTTGCATTTGGAAACTGTTGCTGTCAACTCTCAAGATGAGATCCAAAGAGCTGTCACTATCAGTGAAGCAAGCCATCATTAGGCTGAAAAAACAAAACAAACCCATCAGAGAGATAGCAAAAAAACATTAGGCATGGCCAAAACAACTGTTTGGAACATTCTTAAAAAGAGGGAACGCACCGGTGAGCTCAGCAACACCAAAAGACCCAGAAGAACACGGAAAACAACTGTGGTGGATGACCGAAGAATTCTTTCCCTGGTGAAGAAAACACCCTTTACAACAGTTGGCCAGATCAGGAACACTCTCTAGGAGGTAGGTGTATGTGTGTCAAAGTCAACAATCAAGAGAAGACTTCACCAGAGTGAATACAGAGGGTTCACCACAAGATGTAAACCATTGGTGAGCCTCAAAAACAGGAAGGCCAGATTAGAGTTTGCCAAACGACATCTAAAAAAGCCTTCACAGTTCTGGAACAACATCCTATGGACAGATGAGACCAAGATCAACTTGTACCAGAGTGATGGGAAGAGAAGAGTATGGAGAAGGAAAGGAACTGCTCATGATCCTAAGCATACCACCTCATCAGTGAAGCATGGTGGTGGTAGTGTCATGGCGGGGCATGTATGGCTGCCAATGGAACTGGTTCTCTTGTATTTATTGATGATGTGACTGCTGACAAAAGCAGCAGGATGAATTCTGAAGTGTTTCAGGTAATATTATCTGCTCATATTCAGCCAAATGCTTCAGAACTCATTGGACGCCACTTCACAGTACAGATGGACAATGACCCAAAGCATACTGCAAAAGCAACCAAAGAGTTTTTTAAGGGAAAGAAGTGGAATGTTATGCAATGGCCAAGTCAATCACCTGACCTGAATCCGATTGAGCATGGATTTCACTTGCTGAAGACAAAACTGAAGGGAAAATGCCCCAAGAACAAGCAGGAACTGAAGACAGTTGCAGTAGAGGCCTGGCAGAGCATCACCAGGGATGAAACCCAGCGTCTGGTGATGTCTATGTGTTCCAGACTTCAGGCTGTAATTGACTGCAAAGGAATTGCAACCAAGTGAAAGTTTGATTTATGATTATTATTCTGTCCCATTACTTTTGGTCCCTTAACAAGTGGGAGGCACATATGCAAACTGTTGTAATTCCTACACTGTTCACCTGATTTGGATGTAAATACTCTCAAATTAAAGCTGAAAGTTTGCAGTTAAAGCACATCTTGTTCATTTCATTTCAAATCCATTGTGGTGGTGTATAGAGCCAAAAAATTTAGAATTGTGTTGATGTCCCAATATTTATGGACCTGACTGTATATATATATATATACACATATACACACACACACACATATATACACACACAGTAGGGCAAAAATGTATTTAGTCAGCCACCGACTGTGCAAGTTCCCCACTTACAAAGATGAGAGAGGCCTGTAATTGGCATCATAGATAGACCTCAACTTGAGAGACAAAATGAGAAAAAAAAAACCAGACAATCACATTGGCTGATTTGGAAAGAATTTATTTGCAAAGTATGCTGGAAAATAAGTATTTGGTCACCTACAAACAAGCAAGATTTTTGTCTCTCACAGACCTGTACCTTCTTAAGAGGCTCCTTTGTCCTGCACTCATTACCTGTATCAATGGCACCTGTTTGAACTTGTTATCAGTATAAAAGACACCTGTCCACAACCTCAAACAGTCACACTCCAAACTCCACTATGGTGAAGACCAAAGAGCTGTCGAAGGACACCAGAAACAAAATTGTAGATCTGCACCAGGCTGGGAAGACTGAATCTGCAATAGGCAAGCAGCTTGGTGTGAACAAATCAACTGTGGGAGCAATAATTAGAAAATGGAAGACATACAAGACCACTGATAATCTCCCTCGATCTGGGGCTCTACGCAAGATCTCACCCCGTGGGGTCAAAATGATCACAAGAACGGTGAGCAAAAATCCCAAGACCACACGGGGGGACCTAGTGAATGACCTGCAGAGAGCTGGGACCAACGTAACAAAAGCTACCATCAGTAACACACTACGCAGCCAGGGACTCAGATCCTGCAGTGCCAGACGTGTCCCCCTGCTTAAGCCAGTACATGCCCGGGCCGGTCTGAAGTTTGCTAGAGAGCATTTGGATGATCCAGAAGAGGATTGGGAGAATGTCATATGGTCAGATGAAACCAAAATAGAACTGTTTGGTAGAAACACAACTCGTCGTGTTTTGCAGGAGAGAGAATGCTGAGTTGCATCCAAAGAACACCATACCTACTGTGAAGCATGGGGGTGGCAACATCATGCTTTGGGGCTGTTTCTCCGCAAAGGGACCAGGACGACTGATCCATGTACAGGACAAAATGAATGGGGCCATGTATCGTGAGATTTTGAGTGCAAACCTCCTTCCATCAGCAAGGGCATTGAAGATGAAACGTGGCTGGGTCTTCCAACATGACAATGATCCCAAACATACCACCCAGCCAACGAAGGAGTGGCTTCGTAAGAAGCATTTCAAGGTCCTGGAGTGGCCTAGCCAGTCTCCAGATCTCAACCCCATAGAAAACCTTTGGAGGGAGTTGAAAGTCCGTGTTGCCCAGCGACAGCCCCAAAACATCACTGCTCTAGAGGAGATCTGCATGGAGGAATGGGCCAACATAGCAGCAACAGTGTGTGCCAACCTTGTGAAGACTTACAGGAAACGTTTGACCTCTGTCATTGCCAACAAAGGATATATAAGTATTGAGATTAACTTTTGATATTGACCAAATACTTATTTTCCGCCATAATTTGCAAATAAATTCTTTCCAAATCAGCCAATGTGATTGTCTGGATTCGTTTTCTCATTTTGTCTCTCATAGTTGAGATCTACCTATGATCACAATTACAGGCCTCTCTCATCTTTTTAAGTGGGAGAACTTGCACAATTGGTGGCTGACTAAATACTTTTTTGCCCCACTGTGTATATATATATATATATATATATATATATATATAAAAATAAATAAATAAACACACACACACACACCAGTCACTTTAGAAGGTGCACCTGTTCAATTGCTTGGTAACACGAATTGCTAATCAGCTAACCACATGGCAGCAACTCAATGCATTTAGACATCTAGATGTGGTGAAGATGACAAGCTGAAGTTCAAACCAAGCATCAGAATGGGGAAGAAAGGGGATATAAGTAACTTTAAATGTGGCGTGGTTGTTGGTGCCAAGTGGGCTGGTCTGAATATTTAAAAAACTGCTGATCTACTGGGATTTTAACACACAACCATCTCTAGCGCTTACAGAGAATGGTCAGAAAAAGAGAAAATATCCAGTGAGCGTCAGTTGTGTGGACCAAAATACCTTGTTGATGTCAGAGGTCAGATGAGAATGGACAGAATGGTTTGAGAGGTTAGAAAGGCAACTGTAACTCAAATAACCACTCATTACAACCAAGGTATGCAGAATATCATTTATGAGCGCACAACATGTCGAACCTTGAAGCAGATGAGCTACAACAGCAGCAGACCACACCAGGTGCCACTCCTGTCAGCTATGAACAGGAAACGGAGGCCGCAATTCACACAGGCTCACCAAAATTGGACAATAGCAGATTGGAAAAACATTGCCTGGTCTGAAGAATCTTGATTTCAGCTGCGACATTCAGATGGTAGGGTCAGAATTTGTCGTAAACAACATGAAAACATGGATCTAATTTGCCTTGTATCAAAGTATCAGGCTGTTGGCAGTGGTGTAATGGTGTGGGGGATATTTTCTTGGCACACTTTGGGCCCTTTAGTACCAATTGAGCATCGTGTAAACACCACGGCCTACCTGAGTGTTGTTGCTGACTATGTCCATCCCTTTAGGACTACAGTGTACCCATCTTCTGATGGCTACTTCCAGCAGGATAATGCACCATGTCACAAGGCTCAAATCATCTCAAACTGGCTTCTTGAACATGAAAATGAGTTCACTGTCCTCCAATGGCCTCCAAAGTCACCAGATCTCAACTGAATAGAGCACTTTTGGGAAATGGTGGAACGGGAGATTCCCATCATGGATGTGCAGCCAACAAATCTGCAGCAACTGGGTGATTTGATCATGTCAATATGGACCAAAATGTTTCCAACACCTTGTTGAATCTATGGCATGAAGAATTAAGGCAGTTCTGAAGGACAAAGGGGGTCCAACCTGGTACTAGCAAGGTGTACCTAATAAAGTGGCTGGTGAGTATATACAGTATATATACACATTTTTTATCCAATGTTAAATTATAGTAGCAAATGTTTTGTAAGGCTTCTGTACAAGATAACATTCAACAGCTTAGGAAGGTGCAATCACCACTGCAACAGAACATCTGAAACAACCCCAGTATCCTCTTCACAAATTTACTGTGCAGTGTCCATTCCAGTATACAGGCTAATCACCAGTGTGTGCTCAACAGACCCTTCTGTTTTGTAGAACTGGCATGATAGTTTTCCTATGTTGCTCTCTATTTGGCTGCACCATCTTCGGAAATTCTCTTCATTATTTCTTTGGCAATGCTCACATACGCCATGGCCTAGAGAAATCAAGGGTAAGGTGATAATAAATTAAATGGGATATCTGGTAAAAATCAACATTCCCCAAGCAACAGTAGTCTGTTAATTCAGCTCATATTCAACCAATGTATTGAAATGCATTCAGTACATGGTATATTCACTATTTGATTCAGAAATGTATCTTGGCAACTTTTAACATTGGATTCTTTTAGGCAGACAAACATTCCCCATGAAAAACTTCTGCTGTTTTAAGTCCACCTTTTGCAAAAAAATAATAATATTCACCCATATTAAAAAAACAAAACAAAAAAAAAAAAAACAAAAAAAAAAAAAACCTGGATTTTTTTTTACATACTTGTGAAATCCTTTTCTTGGAGTATGTCACGGGACACAGAGCAAGCTATTCATGACCACCCCTGGAACGAACACCGCTGACAAACTTGGAACATATCTCTGCCCAGGGCAGAATGTAATTCACCTCCTCCTGAGCATCGAAGCTCCTGGTACCATCCTGGTTGATGTATGCCGTCATTGTGGCATTGGCGGACTTAATCTTTACAGGCCAACCCTGAAGCCTGGATGTCCAATACCTCAGAGCTAGTCTCACTGCCCGAAGTTCCAGGAAAAAGAACCCTTTCCCATGAAAGCCACGTTCCCTGAACTGTGACTTCCTCCAGGACAGCCCCCCCAACCCGAGAGGTTGGCATCGATGATTAGCAACCTCCACACAACTGGCCGAAAATATCTCCCTCTCTCCAAATTGTGAGTCAACAACCATCAATTCAGGCTTTGCAGTACCCCTGGAGACAGAGATATGCAGTAATCCAGGGTTGGAAGCTTCTTGTTCAAAACAGTCAGAATGTACCATTGAGAGGTCTGGAGTGGAACTGGGCATAGGGAATAGCCCTGAACGAGGACAGCATCTTCCCCAGCAACGTCATACAAAGGTGAATTGCAGGATACCTCTTGGTCTTCAAATTGCAAACCTTGTTCCTCAGGGTTCAAGGTTTCCCTGGAGGCAGAAATACTTTTGTCTGAACTTTGTCTAGGACAATCCCCAAATAATTCAGGCTCTTTACTGGTTATAGGGCCGACTTCTTGAAGTTAAGCACCCAGCCCAGCTGTTCCAGGATCTGCATCAAAAGGACCACATCCTGCCTCAGACCTGGCACTGACCGATATATGAGCAACAGATCATCTAGATAACCTATGACCGCTACCTCCAAAGTTCTGAGCAGCCCCAACTCCAGAGCAAGAATTTTTGTAAAATCCCTGGGAGCCGTGGCCAGCCCAAATGGTAGTGCTATGAACTGGAAATGCTGAGTCCCTACTGCAAACTGCAGAAATCCTTGGTGAGGAATGAATATCGGCACATGCAGGTATGTAAACAAAATATGCAGCTCTATAGGTAATAAGTGCTCAGGAACATATATCTCACTATATAGAATAAAAAAAAATGCAAAAAGAATAGTGCAATATTAATATTGAAAAGTGATGAATCTCGTCTAATGGATGAAGAGTACACATGTGAATGGATAAATAACACTGTTCAACAGGTAAAAAGTTTTGGGCATAAAATTAGCTAATCTTACATAATTTTGGGGTGCTGAAAACGAAAATGACCCTAAAAAATGTTGATTGGCTCTAGTTTCCATGATATATTCACCCATCTAATGACGCAAGCCATTCAAAATTATGATGCAACTTCAGCTGCATATTGCGCAATTGATACTGGTGACCAATAGAAAATTGCATGTATACTGAGATGATGCAATATTAGCCTTTAATTGCATCACTTCACTGCATAAAAGCTGCAGTATCTGTAGCTGATTGTAGTTCGACAGCGTCTTTACATTTCGTTTTATGCTTATATAGGCTACTCAGTAATGCCTCGAACTTGTGTGAATAAAGCAGATAATTTCTGCTATATCTGCGGTGAAATAACTTTTATAGCTCACAAAAAAGGAGGATAACAGGAATGATTAAGAAAGCCTACAACTTGTATTTTGGCTGCAAGATAGGAGACCAGGACAGGAGCTGGGCACCACATATATGCTGCAATTCTTGTGGGACGGCACTGGAGCAATGGTTGAATGGAAAAAAGGCATCTATGCCTTTCGCTGTGCCAATGATTTGGAGAGAGCCAACAGATCATGTTAGTAATTGTTACTTTTGTATGGTGCCTCCAATTGTAAAAAAGGCTAAATAAGAAGAAAAAGTTATCTGTGCACTATCCAAATATTCCATCGGCAATACGTCCAGTTCCTCATGGAGAGGGGCTACCAATTCCTAAAGCACCAGAATCCTTCGTGGTTGAGTCAAGTGAGGAAGAACCTGAAGCGTGTAGTCACGTGCAGTTGTAAGAGATAGCCCTTTCCTCGAATACAAGAGAAAAGCCAAGAGAAGCAAAACCGACACAAACTGAAGACAAAACTAGTGAGAATCCTAAGTATTAAAATGATTCAACTTAGCTTATGGCTATAATTTTTCTTGGTAATCCTATGCAATATATTATGCCATTTAGGCTTTGTTATGTAGTCAATATCACTTGCTTTATATTTGTGGAAAGACATCTATCTATATAATTATTGTGCATTATGTAGTCATTACGCCTATAGTAGAAAACTTTCCGTTTACAGAAAAACTAGAGCCAATTGACAAATTTCATTGTTATATTTGAACTCAGAATGTGAAATTCGTTAAGAAATGGATCCTTTTGTTTCCAAAACTGGCAAAAAAAAAAAATTTGTTGAACAGTGATAATCTGAGTGACAAGTATTAGTGAAAATAAAATGTGTTTGAACAGCCACAAATAATATATGGTGAATATCAATAATTATATCCAACAAATGAAGAAATAAATATTATAAGTCACTGTGAAAATAAAATCCGAACAAACCATGAATGGATAAAAATTAAATAGTGAATAGTGACTTCAAATTTATAGTGATAATCACATAAAATACAGTCCAACGAAGATGGTGAATGAAAACTTCCGTGCTTGTGACTTCTTGTGATAAAATGAGATATGCTTGCACTCACCAGAAGCGCAAGGTATTTGCGCATATATATATATATATATATATATATATATATTCCAAGAAAGGACACTGATGTATCAGGGATCTGGTCAGCGGCACGGGGCTCCACTGGTGTATAGACACAGAATTGGCACTCCAAACCTCTCCACTGGACCCTCACAGCATATGCGGACAACTCTTTTCATGCGTTACCATCATAAGAACGACTGCCAAATGGATACTACTCCACCTTGAAATGGCTCAGATACAAGCCACCAAAAGGTATTTGATAGTGTAGTAATTTTTAATAGTTTGGCACAGTTTCCAGATGAACAGGATACATCAATGACAGGTATGCAGAGAAGTACATACAATAGCTAAGATGGCTGCCGGACCACCATGCAGCCTCAGCGGCGTGACGTCAGCGCAGTGAGGCCATCAGGGAAGATATTATAGCAGACATTTGGCTAGGTTCCTCAGGACCTGGTGGCAGCACATTAGTGCCCTTTCCTGCTTTACCTCCCCCACTCTGCTTTCTGGAAGACATGACTTAAAATAGCTTAAAAACATGTGTACCTCCAGTAGTAAACACAGACCACAAGATACAACTATGCAAATAGTGTGCTGAATAAAAATACTCAATGTAAATTGCTGACCTTATGAGCCACCAAGGGCGGCTCCTGAATGACTGGCCAACGCTTCCCCCTCAGGGGAGTACTCACGTGCCCCACTGAATAGCCTGGTCTGTGTCCCGGCCACAGGAATCCTTCAGTGGTAGCAGCAGCAGCCCACGTGTGCCCCAGCCACCAGAGATAGATAAATATAACAGACTTCTGTTTCCAGCTCCTACTGCGCATGCACGTGCGATCCTCATGCGTTCACACCCTGCTGTGCACGCGCCCCACACTCGATGGCCAGCCGCACTTCTAGGAACAAGAATGAAGTGGCTCCAAACAGAACAACAGGCAAGAATGTCCCGGGAAACCGCGAGCACTTCCCCTGGTGTAAACCCAGCCAAACAGCAATACCTCTCCTTTCCCACCAAACTTGAGCTTTGTTGTTCCTCTCCCTTTTCTTTTTTAACAGAAAAAAATTAGATATCTTGACTTCCGCCAGCCACCAACCTTCTCCCATCACAGCGGGCATTGTCATACAGACCTTCAAGGACCTAGTCCCCATAATGTGGGGGCCACTGCCTCGGACCCGTATAGCACCCCAATGGAAATTGCCTTGGTCAGATCTAAAACTGCACAGGGTTCCATCTACTTGGGGTCCAGCATTCTAAGGCTGCAGGCTGCATTACAGGCAAAAAACCAGAGGATTCTTCTTATCCAGTGAGGCTCAGGTACCATACATTTTGGCTCACAGCTCTCCAAATGGATCGGATTAAAGTTCATGATTCTCGAAGGAACCATACTAGACCTTAGGTATGCTCCATGAGCACAAGCAACACTTTGTGACCATCCACCTTACAGACACTGGCGAAAAAACTGAAGTACTTCCTGTGTAGGAGGGGTTATAAAAAGGGGAGGATCTCCTCTGATTGGTTGGCCAGTGTCCATTCATCTATAGGTGGCATATAACCCACATAGTCACGAATAGTCTGCTCTGTGTCCTGTGATGTATGATAAAGAAATAGGTTTTGTTTTTTTTTTGCATAGGAGCCTGGAAAGAACTGCAGCCACAATCAGTAGATTGGTTCAATGCTCTGGCTCCTGCAAACTCTTTCTGCAGCTGCTGGTCCATACAGAGGTACAGACTTTCAGTTAAAGGAGAAGAGGAAGCATCAATTGACTATACAGTAAGTGCTATGCTATCAGTGCACTTGTGCTGAAATGAGAACTACAGTACGTGTTCGATCATCAGAACTAATTATTATGTATTGATCATTTTGCACAATTTTGTTGGGATTTTATTTAGTAGGTTATTGATCACTCATTTTAGGTGTAGCACCTATCTCTAATTATTCTTGGCTTTTAACATATATGCTATCCCTATGTTGCTATGGCTCTGGACCAATGGTCCTTAACAGTTTTATGTGTTCTTTTGACTGGAATCCTTGTCATTGGTTCCGGTTCTTTGTTTTCAGGTCTCTCTTTTCTTTTTATTGCATGACACTGTACTTTGATATTCCTGTAAAAAATGTTTTTGATAAACATATTATGGAGAAAAAAATTACAGTTTTTTTTATAAGTACTCACCTCCCTGCTCTCTGGAGCAGAAACCACTACTGGCTTTCCCATGTCACAGGTTTCTCGAATGCTAATATGTAGAGGAATGTCACCTAAGCAAAAATAAACATAAATCATTATCATCAAGTCATTGTAAAGCAGCCATATCATTTATTGTCCTATTTGCCATGCATTTTAAATAAAAACAATTTCCTTAAAGCAATTTTCTAATTATTTTGTTTATTATATATATTTCAACTCCCAAATACAAATAAATGTTTAGTGCCTTTCTTTTTTTTTTTTTATTCCATATATCAAGAAAATACACAAAATATTTTTAGTTTCCTCAAAGTGCCTATGGGAGTCCATGACTTGTGTTACTGCTTTTAACACCCACTGTGATAGGGCAGGTCCAGGCCAGTTAAGGAATCTGTCTTCATAAACCTCTTATGTGTATTCTAAACCAAAAAAATGTGATACTAGGGCTGACAGAAACCAAATTTGCCTTTGGTCAGGGGGCAGAAAGGAAAGCGCAAAATAAGAAGAAAAAAAGATAATACAAATCTATACATATGAATACTTGCATAGCACAGCATTCATTTAACCAAATCTGTGTGGTTTAATAATGTAACAGAAGCGTAGGCAGGACAGAACACACAAAGCTTTATTGAACTATTAAAGACACTCAATCAGGACAGTTCATGGCACTCCGTGATATGCGGCTTGTAGGGACACCCATGGTAAGCGGGCTCACGGGGACTCAAAGGGACCTTGGCAATGGGGTCTGACCTCAGCACAACCCCCACACAGCTTTCTAGGGACAACATCGGCTCACGGGGACTCAATGGGACTTAGGCTGTGGATTATGGTCTCAACACAGCTCCCGCACAGCGTACTAGGGACAACATTAGGCTCACGGGGACTCAACGGGTAGCGATGGCTCAAGCACTCAGGGGCATCCCAGATAGATATACTCCGGGCACGCCATGGGGCGGTTCAAGTAAGGGTAGTCTGGCCGTGCAATAGGGGCAGCTCATGACAAGGGTGGTCTGTGCACACAATAGGGACAGTTCATGGCTTCTAGGGACACTCACGATAGGTGTCTTGCAGATGCTCAGCAGCAGGCGGCTTCCAGGGAGGTAGGTGACGTGCGGATGCTCAGCAGCGGCAGCTTCCAGGGACAAAGTGGTCAGCAGACAGGGCAGCTTCCCAGGGCCCCAGTGATCAGCAGACAGGGCGGCTTCCCAGGGACCCAGCAATCAGACAGGGCGGCTTTCCAGGGCCCCAGTGATCAGCAGACAGGGCGGCTTCCCAGGGACCCAGCAATCAGCAGACGAGACGGCTTCCCAGGGGCCCAACGATCAGCAGACAGGGCGGCTTCTCAGGGGCCCAACGATCAGCAGACAGGGGCGGCTTCCCAGGGACCCAGCGATCCACCGATAGGGGCACAGCAGGCTTGCAGGGGCTTGGCAGGGTCTTGGCTGTGCGGGGTCTGTGCCTGGGATGGTTCTGACCTTTGGGGGAGTCTCATGCAGAGTGCTCACCGGGGATGGCTGCGGAGGCCCGGTCCCCACCTGGACCTCTCAACGGAACAGCTTCCAGGGGGACAACACAGCACAGGAGGGAGATAGAGAGGGAGAGAGAGAGGGAGAGAGAGAGACTGGTTTCACGCTGGCCTTTTAAAAGTCGCACGGGGACGCTTCCGGGTTGCCCCAGCAACAGCTGGCCCAGCATCGGGTTGCCGGGGCAACGAGGCACGCCCCCCTCACTCGGGCCGCGCTGAGGGAGCACGGCCTTTGTCTCCGGTGGGCACAGAGCGCGGGAAAGCCTCGCTCCCGCGCGGAGACGCCTTGGCCGGAAAGGTGCCAACCGCACCACAGGGGGCGTTTCCTCCCATCCTGCACAGCCCTTTGATGTAGGCTGGCAGGACGTGAGGAATCCGCAAGGGGGGAGGGAGGGGTGAAGGGACAGGCAGAGAGACAGGCAAAGGGAGGTGAGGAAGGCACGGGCACTCCGTGACAAATAAAAATATGTATCTCCTGGTATCATAGGTATCGAAAACTTGTAGAAGTGTATGCACAATTTGTTCCCTCGCTCTGTTTCACCACTTTGTTCAGAACTCTTGTTATTGCTGCATTGAATCCAAAAAACAAAATGTAACATATTGCAGCTTACTAATTCTTGGATGTGAACTGGAACAGGTGCATTCAAGCTACTACCTCCTGTGTAATTTCTCGTCAACCTCAGGAACACAGCACCCAGCCTAGAAAGTCTCTGCAAACCTCCATAATCGGCCAATGAAAAAAAAGGGAAAGGCTGGCCATGTCACGATTAAAAGAGAAGTTTGGGTTTTGTTTTTTTCCCCAAATCATACTTACCTAGGTGGATGCAGCATCAGTCTGATCCTACATCTGTCCCCTGCCGGCTCTAAGTATGAGAACTCAGCAATCACATGACTGCTGATCACTGAGTTCTCACTGTAACAATCATGCACACAGAGTGAAAACACCTTAAGACAGGACGTATGTTACTGGCCAGATGACCAGTTAAAAACAACAAAACGCAGCCACCATATTTAAGGGCTGCAAAACTGCAATATTCTCATTTTTGGTTTTGGATTTAACACCAATTTAAGGCCTGCTTTAAAACAGAAAAAACACCCCATACTTCCCTATTGCCACATTATTCAGCCATGGGGCTACGTATCCCTGCACCCACTAATACTGTGTTTCTTCCAGGGAAATTATGTGGGTGGGGATGTCCAGCTTTCCCAATGTAGCAATGAAGTCCCTACTCTACAAGGAGTTCAGAAACCAGTTTTGTAGCTCCATGCAGAGTGAAGAGGAGGACCTGATCTTCGTACTGGGCTAAAATTGACTAATGGACAGTTAAGGGACCAAAAAGTAAGTGAATAATACAAAAAACTGCAGCATTGTATAGAGAAACAGGAAACCTTCCTTATATTATGCCACCTGAATTACAGATTCTTCTGAATATACTGTATGCAAGCAGACAAATCCAAGCTGCCATAAATGTAGAAATGTAAAATAAAAGCAGAACCTCATTATAGATGCTACACTCCCACTATTCATCTACAGGGGTTAGACTAAAAAAAAAATGGAAACTGTGACTGAAGTCCCATGAAGACTAAGATTTGCTCTGCAGATGCTTTTGCAGCAATTGTTCTCCTATTCCGGGTCACAATTCTGAGCAATGTCCTTTTGTCTCTTTTGGTCAGTTGACCATGTCGACCACACTTATGCTTATCAGATGACGTTTTCCTGGAAACTGTACATGCGGTCATAACCTTCGATACTGTACCTTGCAATATGGGAAATAATTTGGCAACTTCAGGTCACAGAGGCACCAGCTAAGCGGCCTCCAATAATTTGCCCTCTTTGAAGCTCAGTAAGCTCTAACATGACTCTGTATTACTAGTAGCGCATGCAGTGAATGACAGAAGTGAGGCTTTCCACCTGTTAGCTAGGTGTCTCATCACAGAAGCAAAAGAATTTTATATCACTTTCACATTTGCAAATCATGTAGTATTTCCATTTTTTTTGTCTAACCGCTATATCTGGTAATTTATTTTATAGAGAAGTTGCAGCCCCTTGCACTGGACAGGCCAGGAATCCCAAGGGATTTGTGGATTCATTTGAAGAGTAATAAAGATGCTTGCAGGTACTACAAGCTACTACAGTTCTACAGTTACTTAAAGGCTAAAGTTCTCCTTTAAAACATGCAGAGCCATATTTAGAGTGTAATATGTAACATGTTCTAGCAGCTGCCCCCTTGTCCTTCTGACCAGGGGCTGCCTGACAACTCATGGGGCCCCTGGGCAATAGGGGATCATGGGGCCCCTGTGTCCTTGCCCAAACTCAAAAAAGCCTATGAAAAAGGTACCAGGGGCATCTCATGGGGCCCCCTACTGACCCCGGGTCCTCGGGCAGTGCCCGAGTTTCCAAATGGTCAGTCCGCCCCTGCTTCTGACCCCCTTCCCCGGTGACACCAGTTGGGGGGATTTTTTCCCCCACAGTCGTTGTCGCATTTACAAATCAGTACAGCTTGGTTATCGTTGGCTTCGCCGACTAGCAAGCAATGGATAGATTATGTTAACTCGTTACTCCCGCAGGAAAAACTCACGTATCAATATTGCAATGCTTATCGTAAGTTCCAGCAGGTATGGCAGGATTGGCTGAATACACCTGGGCTTGCCCCTCCTCAATTAATAGTGGATCGACTTTTGCAGGTGTGACATTTTATATCAGGTGTGTGGCTCCACTCCTCCCCTTAAGGGAGATCATGTGCATCCCCCATTTTTTTCTGATGAGATGTCTCAGGTGAACCAGATGTTGTTTTTGATGTGGTTATTTTTTATTGTTTGAAGGCATGTTTTGGGCTTTGTTCCTTTCCCCCCCCAAATAGGTTTACATCTGGAAGGAATAAATGGTAAAAAGGAGAAAGTAAGGTACTGTCAAGAAGGCTTTGGATCCTTGTGGTCTCTGTTTTGTTCGATTACTATTTCTGTTATTCTGTCCATTATGGGATCTGCGTATCCACATTGTTCCAATTATATGTAATCCTGTTGTTACAGTAATGTCATTGTGGATTCTGTAAGTACTGTTCCGTTTTTTTATTATCTTGGCAATAAAAGTTGTTTGGATTTAAAAAAAACAAAAAAAACAAAAATCAGCACAGCTGTGTGGGCTACACCCGTACAGCCATGTCATTCATTCACAGAGATCTGTAAATGAATAAACCACAAGTCTAATCTGGCATAGCGGCAGATGTGTAGTTTTCATTGGATTATGAGCATGCTGATTAGTACGATCGTAGTCCATTCATTCTTCCGCCACTGTTCAAACAAAGTCTGTACAGAGGTACAGGCAGAGAGCTGGAGGGAAAGCATGCAGGAGACTGAAATTGCTCTCGAGATCCACTGATCGTGGTTGCAATGCTTTGCAGGATCCTGAAGGAAAATAATAAATGCACATTTTTTCCCCTAAAAAATACGTGCATTATTTTTTGCTAAAAGGTGAACTTATCCTTTAAGGCACTTTTTAGGTCAGATCAGGTATACATTCACATTCAGTGATGATAGATTATCACATCAACAGTACCCCTACCTAGAATATCTAGTCCCATGGAAACCGCAAGTTGCCGTGCGCCATCTTCTCCAAAGATATGGGTTTCGTGATTACACTTAGGACATCGAAAAACACTCATGTTCTGCACAAGACCTAGCACCTGTCAGGAGACAAAACCATCATTTGTATATTTACCTACAAATAGTGAACTCTTGTAAAAAAAAAAAAAAATGTAATAAAATAAAATAAAATAAAAGCAGGACCACAGGCTTTCATGTCCTCTAAATGTGGACACTTGTTCTGGAATTATTTCAATCCCGGTTACTCTTCTATCTTATCTTTGGTCACATTAAAGAACTCCAGGTCTTTATGAGATAAGCCAGCAGCATGTCAGAGAGAAGGTTGAAAACATGTACTTTACTGCAGTATCTGAACACTGTTACACAGCATGGTAAGAGGAGAAAACAAGAGAAAAGTGAATAGTACAACTCTGGAGTAAGCAACCAGGCAAGTCCCAATAGAGGGAGTGTCCCCCACGGAATCCAGAGACTGACAACCACTAGCCATTGATAGGGATAACTGCTACACCAGGGAATGACAGTCTCTAAACTCAGGTATTGATCACCAATGTACACAGGCAACAGCCTGGGATAACGCCTGCTAGACCCAAGGATTGACCAATGTTACAATCAGGGAGTAACCACCAATACAGCTAGCAAGTCATCATAACAACTAGAAAAATGACCAACTACATACCCAGGTAATAGCCAATACATAAACACCACAATACAAGCAGTCCCCGGTTACAAACAAGATTTTGTAGATTTGTTCTTAAGTTGAATTTGTATGTAAGTTGGAACTGGCCATGCAGTGATGTGGGATTGCCGACAGGTCCGCAGGACAGTAGGTGGCAGCATGTGGTGAGCAGCAAGATTGCCGCGTGGCAGTTTCCGGGACCAGCATTACATCATGCTGCCTCTGTTCTTAAGTAAGAGTCATATGTACGTCGGATGTTTGTAATACAGGGACTACCTAGACCTAGGGAATGGTAATGGAGTACAACACAACACAAATATCACCTATATAGCCAGAAACTAGTCACTATATTAACTCCACCAAAGCCCAGGAACGACTACCCCATTATCACCACTACAATACACACAAACCAAAGAAAGTGATTAATACTTGCAATGCTTGTAGAGCAAGTGATTGAGTTTCAAGATGACCACTTGTTGCTAACAAAATTTTTACATTTCCCACTTTGAATTCTTTATGAATGAAATCAGCTGTCCCCAAAACATCAGGATTTATGAAATGCTGCTTTCACCTACACAACCTGCCTGGGACCATTGTACTATTTATGATCTCCATATCATCACTTATGCACCAAGCAGAGGCTTGATCTAACTATAAGGCATAAAGATGGTCTCCATTTGTCTTTTCTCTGGTTTGGCTCTTTCCTCTGGCTCATTAGTTGCCGGGTGCTAGGGGCAATGGCCATACAGGTTGCTATAGGAGATCCCGGAATAGTGTTCCCCCACATGTAGCACTACCCCCTTAGAAATTACTGAGTATTTGGGTCCCACTATAGTCCTGCACAGCCAGGCAACTTGCATTTTCCTAAGACTTGCACCCAGGAGTCAGTAATCAGTCCTTGAGCTTGTTTTTTATGTTTTATCAGGGGGATTTCAACTTCGATGGGGTAAGGGGTATATGGGATGCCCAATGAAACTGATGAACTTCTTGAAACGATTTACAAGTCTAATGCAACACAGACTCTTTTGGAGAGCTAGCCAGCATCTCCTGTAGTACCACCAGAGATGGACTCCACTGCTTCTCCCAACTCTCTGGAGGTATCCTTGAGCAGGGGATCCAGTGCCTGTCGCTTTAAGAAATTAGATAGCCCTAGTAGGTTGTGAATCTGGTTTACCACGAGAGTGCTCCTTCCCTCATCTGGCCCAGGGGGTGCAGGGTTACTCACCCAGTGCTTCTCCTGTGCTGCTGGTGGGTCGGTGGCTGCTACCAGTCCTTTTAGCTGGTCCGTTCCTTCCCTGCTTTACAGATGGTCCTCTCTCAGGGGGCTGGTGAGGGTCTGAGCTTTTGTCTTTTACAGCTCCACTGCCTTTAGGTGAGCCCCTCTCTCTATTTGAGCCCTTCCCAGGGTCCTGCTCCTCAGCCTCACATCTTCCCCTCTGTCTTTTATCCAAACTTTCCTGCAGCTGAGCAGGCTCACTCACTTTTAAGGGTTGTCCTGGCCCCTTGCCAAGCCTCCTGTTGGGGATTGGCCAGGCTCCTTTAAAAGTGAAGATCAGCCACTCCTCAGATTCACCCACTGCTTCTTGACCTTTCTCCAAAGTTCTAGAGCAGGAGGAATTTCCAGAGGGCTGGTCTGCAGAGCCTCTTAGCACTGACCGAAGAAAGCATATTTATATAGGGTGAATGCTTGTTGAGATTTGGTTTTACGCCACAATCACTCCAGCGCACGACTATGTCGTTTAAGATTTCTGGTGTTGTCAGTCTGCCAAGGTTGTAACGGTCGGGGCCTGATGCTTCGTGTTGTTAGAGGAGCAAGTGAGTCTAATGTGGATGAAAGCAAACTGTTGTAGACAGCAGTGGCCAGGTCAGGCAGGACAGGGGAGAGATTCTGTCATAGAGTTGGTCATTTGCAGAGTGGAAAGGAGCAGGGTTCAAGTTGTGAAGGTTTCTGCGGGTAATTGTTTGCTGCTTGGAGGGATAGGGGTTTGAAGACGAGGACACTGTGAAGGTGATGGGATTGTGATCAGAGAGAGGAAAGGGGGGTGTTTGTGAGGTTGTAGGGAGTGCAAAGCTGGGAGAAAAACAAGGTCTAATGTATTCCCATCAGAGTGAGGACTGTATACATTGCGCTAATGCAAAAGATGAGGTTAAGTTGAAGAGTTGGGATGTAACCGGGTTGTTGACATTAATAGAGATGTTAAAATCTCAGAGAATGATAGTGGGTAGTTCAGAGGAGAGAAAGTAGGTAGCCAGGCGGAGAAAATCATCAAGAAAGCGGGACACCGGTCCAGGAGGCCGAAAGATCACTGCAATCCTCAGAGAAATGGGAGAAAACAACCAGATGCAGGGAGTCTCAAAAGAAGAGAAGTATAGAGAGGGAGGGTTAGGGAGGACTTGAAAAGGTGCTCAGTGGGGACAGAAGCAAACCAACCCCTCCTCCTTTCCGACCACTGGGTCTGGGTGAGTGAGTCCAGAGAAGGCTGCCAAAGGAAAGTGCTGCGGGAGAAGAAGAATCTGCTGCTTGAAGCCAGGTTTCTGTAATTGCTAGTAGGTTAAGGGAGCGGGAGACAAAAAGGTCATGGACAGAAGTGAGCTTATTATTATACATGATTTATATAGCGCCAACAGTTTGCTCAGCGCTTTACAATATAACGGGAGACAATACAGCAACAATACAGTTCAATACAAAAGGGATAGGAGGGCCCTGCTCCTTCTGGAACTCTCTACCCCAATTTATCAGACTATCACCTAATCTGCTCACTTTTAGGCGATCTCTGAAAACCTCTCTCTTCAGGAAAGCCTACCTGCCCTCAGCTAATAATAAAATCTTCTACTCTTCCAACCGGTCCATCCCCCACAGTTACTACCTTTGTACCACTAGCTCCTCCCTCCTAGATTGTAAGCTCCAAGGAGCAGGGCCCTCCTATCCCTCTTGTATTTAACTGTATTGTTGCTGTATTGTCTCCCGTTATATTGTAAAGCGCTGAGCAAACTGTTGGCGCTATATAAATCCTGTATAATAATAATAATAATAATAATAATAAAGAGGTAGCAGTTGTTCGGATATTCTGATAGCCGCTGACAGCAGTTGCAGCGGAAGATTCATTCATCTGAACTGTATAGCTGCGTTCTCTGGCAGAGATGTATGAATTACACAAATTACTGGACAGAATTACAAATCATTTGGCAGATATGACAGTTCAGACATGTATTTCACCTACACGTTAAAGCATTTTGGCTGCAGTTGTGATTTAAGATCATTGGACACTGTCAATTAACTTGCTTGCCTAGTTAAAATGAATCATCATTGTATTTTAAACAAAACATTGATTATTACCAAGCAACACAACTTCAACCAACGAATATTATGCGTTTCACTCAGCAGGAAGGAAGGAAAGTAAAAATGCTAATTATATTGATGTTCTTCTTGAGATAATTACAAGTATTTACCCAAAAAAATGTAATTTAGTGAGTGGCTAAAAAAGATAATGTTGTGAGGTATGATCCCTCCTCCTACATAAATCTAGCAGCTTTACAACAACAGTATTCAAACAAAAGTAGTGATGAGAAAGTTAAAGTGAACTTACAGGAACGTTGACTTTCTGAAACATTTCAGCCCCTCTGCGAGCATCCAGCAGTGCAATGTCCTGGGGAGTGGAGACTATCACAGCCCCTGGGAAGATGAATCATTCAGTTACTTTGCTCCCACTCACTGCCTGGAATGAGATCCCGCTCCCACTGCCTCTTGCTGAGAACATGTACTGACCAACATGATGGGTCAGGGGAGGAGAAGACAATGAGCTATTAAACTAAACAAATACTGCTGTTGCCTTAGAAAACTTCTACATATAATTGCTGCACTGATAATGCATCATTATAAGCCCGTTTAACATTTTTGAACATAACCAGATAAAACGTACTGAACATGCTGTGTAGATTTTCTTTTTTGTACACTCATTTTTTTTTCCTTAAAGGAGAACGTCTTCAACATTACAGAACACTAGAAGCTATACCATGACCTGGACAAATGAGAACCTTCACATAAACATACAGATTGGATCTCCCAACAATTATCCTTGTTGGCAGAAGGCAGTCCGAAAGAGATTTGACTACTTATGGCCAAACTGGACTAACAGGATCTGTCTGGGCTGGTAAGGATTGTCCATGCGGTTCAGGGAATAACACAAACAAATATGAGGGCCACATGCATTTGTATATTCAGTAATGAATAATAAGTACATATATGCTAGGGGAAATCCATATTCACATAGTTATAGGCAAAGTGGTTTTATAACAAGTGCCTCCAAGTCATCTGAATGTGTACTGCCACTGCAAGTGGATTTAAAGCTAAAACGTTTTTTTTTTTGCTTTACATAGTACGGGAAAGGGTTAAACCCCTATTTCTGTATTTTTGCTGTCTGTACCTGTACCAGAGAGATTTACCTTCACTTTCTGCCTAGGGGACGCAAATAAAATTAGAAATGAAAAATTCCTGTCTTTGACAGCTGTCATCTTGTCTCCATTGGATGGTTTCCCTCATTTCTTGCTCTGATGACAACTCTAAAATTTTGGATTTACATTCATTTTCTGCCTCACTGAGAGTGGTCACCAAGACTGATGATCCTTCTCCACACTATCCAAATCAAGAAAAGAAAAAAATGCTTTTCTTCCCTTTCGATACACTTTAATTCACTATTTGCATAACTGTTCAGCAGACCACTATTCCTTTCAAAGTATGTTTTGTGGACCAATCTAGCCATGAAGTGGCTCACATAATTTGAAGTAGTTTTAAAAGTAGGACCGAAGGCATTTTTTTTTTACTTTTTCCATAGAGTAAGGGAGGGCTATCTATATCCCACTGTAACGTACATGTAAGATTTGATAGCGGAGATGTGATCTGTAGAAATATGACTGTAGATTTAGCTCATTCCATGTTAATATAAGATGTGTTCAGAATTAAGTCAGAGACATATGATCACCAATTAGCATCTGAAGGGACAGAGCTTCCTCTAGACTGGAGGTGACACCTGGATGCCAATAAGATTTGTCACCTTTGGGAAATCTGGAAGGTAAAGGCTCTAGCCAGTTCGGCTTCATGACACAGCGGGAGACCAGAGGTGGTTTTGATGTGTCTGTCAAGCTCTGAGGTATATCCACAGACCAAAGGAATATATTTCATCTCTCACAAAAGCTAAAATATTAGTTGCAGAGAGATGAAAATACTTTCTTCTGATTGGACACACTGTAGGCTACACCTGCATGTAAAACTGTATTTGTAGCCTCTGTAGAATCCCAGAGAAATGCAGAAAATGGTTATATGGCGCCTGATTGCAACAGCTGAACAGTGATTGGTACTGTCGCGATTGGACTGATGCGCTGGTGTTGGAAATTCAATCCCTGACCTGGTGATTCAAACCGTTCCTGGTCCAATTGACTTTGGGCATTTCAGTACCCAGAACGTCCTGTGGGCTGGTACAGGAACACCCCCCAGAGTTGATTGGCCAAGGGCTAATGTCCAGCCTACGTCCATATTCCCATTAATTGAGGACCAGGGATATAGACAGTGGGATTCGTACGGAGCCAGTTCTATCGACTGGCGGATCGCAGACTTTCTCTGACTTGCTCCAGTCACAGGATAACTCTTGGTAAAGTTTTATTTCTGTTTTATTCCCTTTTATTTTATAGTCAATAGCCAATTGTGTGTCTTCTTGTATTTTTTGTAACCTTTTATACTTTGTACATATTTTATGCACTGCCCACTTTCGGGCTATTAAATCATAAAATTAATAAGTGACTTTTGGGTACTTAAGCTCAGGCTCATATCTCCAGAGAGATTGTATTGTATTGTATTGCAGTGTCTTTATATGCTCGGTCAAAGTTCATTGCCAATCTGTATGCAATTGCACTGCATGTTGGCAGATTGCATGCAGATTGTAAAGGTAACAGGTCTGCCAGACGAAGATCTATGTGTGTGTGGTGGCCAAGCAGGCCAGTCTGCTGATAAAACTGTTGGGCGGTGGCAAGCTACCATTTGTGGTGTATCTGGTGTGGGGGTGTGTGGACAGTGGAAGAGTGATTAACTCCGGGGTTCAAGCTTGTAGGATAGCTGGAGGAATCCGAAAAGGGTGTGCCGATTGCTAGGCTGCTCCCCAACCCTTAGCGTGCACCAGATTGTATATAAGATTCGTATCTGCCTGTGTGTGGTCGGCCAGCTGGATTAGAGTCTACCTCTAGCGGTGGCCAGAGGTAGTGCGGGCTGTGAAAGTATATCACGGCTGGTCTTATATATATTCAGATTAAGTCCCCCTTATTCCCTCTTACCCCAAGTCGCGCCTTGGTTAGCTAATCACTGTGGGCGTGTGGCTTGGATCCGTGACACCCACTGGGAGAATTCTCTTCATTTCCTGTCCCATAGCCACTACAGGAAATGAAAGGAGTACCCTCCAAAGTAAGTGGATCCCTGGTAGTCACCAGGGTTTCCAGAACTAGCGTCCCCAATGGATAAATTCCCTTTCTATTCCTGTTTTTGGTGACCACTCAACATTCAGGATTTTCTTTCACTCACTTTTAGGAATAATGGACACCAGGACAAATAAAGAGGGTAAATTCTCCCAAACAGGGACACAGACCGCAATAAACACCTGATATGCATTTGAATTCCTCTTCAGTCTAACCAAAACTAAATAAGAAAAGTTTGACTTTACATCCAATCATTGAAATATCAAATAATCTTACCTGCAGATTTAAAAATATTGAAAACAAATTTTGGATATACATTAACGTGCTAACATTAAAATACGCTCTCGTGATCCAGCCAAGAAGGTCTCTATTCAGGCACTTTCTGTTAAATGGTGACAACAGTCCTCCAATTGTCTTACTTAGTTGTGAAATGCACCTCTGGAGAAGACTCCAAGTGGCTGTGACAATGCATAGATGTCATCATCAGGAAGCCAGTACAAAGCAATGATCAGCCCAAAGCTGGAGGTTGTGCATGTAGACAGGAAGTAAAAGAGGCTAAACGTGAACAACAGCACTGATGTGGGAAAAAAAACAAATCCCCCCAAAAAACAAAACAAAAACATACAAACAGTATGTTATAAAAAATAAACATGGTAATTGTTTAGGATACACAGTGCTATAACAAACCAGATAGGGTTATATTTGCATTAATCGGATGCAAACGATGTACAACTGTGAAGGTCTGGCGTCTGATTCATACCAGATATTGGGATGTTCTGAGATATAGACAACTGTACATCTCCAGTTCCAGGTGGCATGTCTATAACCAGGTAATCCAATTCCCCCCAGTCAACCTGTAAAATGAAAACATGATACATTAAAGTGGTGGTAAACCTCAGACATGAAATATGAACAAAGCACATCCTTCTATAGTCTGTACTTATCTCAATGAATACTATACAGGATTTATGTAGCGCCAACAGTTTACGGAGGGCTTTATAATATAAAGGGGAACAGTACAAGTACAATATAGTAGGAATAGGAGCACTAAGTGTAATTTCTGCCTGCTACGTGGTTCCACTCCTATCAACATGAATCTCTTCTGACAAGTTTTCCTGACACCAAGAGAAAAAAAAAAGGGTGACGGGAGGAAGCTCTAGCACACAGCCCGTGATTGTCAGCTTCAGCTCTGTTCCTGTGTGTGCTGTGTGAAGGGGAGTGTGTCGTTTCCCTCCAAATCAGCTCTCCCTGAGCTCTGTAGAGTACAACTTCAGCTCCCCACCCCCTTTTTTTTCCTGAAAACTCATATAAGCTTTATAAATTCTGGACTCTGAACAGCTGTAGAGAAGATATAAATGCAGATAAAAAAAGGTACAACTTATGTAGGAGGTTTTGTTTCATCTCTACGCATTACATGAGGCCAGTCACTTCATTGGATATAAGTAAGGGTTTACAACCACTTTAAATACTATATTGTATGGGTGAACTTTATTATCATTGGTTCTCACCTGCCTTAGTAACCGCTCTATTGCGGACATAACCATCAAGCCTCTCCACACAATCGGAGCCGTCTCCTCTACCAGGAATCCCATTGACATGCTGGCATGGACACACACAAAGGAATCATCAGACTGTGTAGCTCTGGGCTGCCACTGACACATACTTAGATACAGCACTAATGAATCATTCTTGTGGATACATTGGTGAGTCAGACTATGTATTTCATTTGGCTAGGATCATATTGAGTACATCTGTTTAGTAAATATGTGGGAACATTTCAATTTGTGCTTGATCATGAATCTGTGTTTTTATCTACAACTGAACAGGTTTATTTATATGTTTATTTGACACAAACAGTGAAAAGTGACTCACAGCAAAGAAAGAAGAATCCAAAAAATATGCAAGTCTTAAGCTGGCCATACACTAGTAGCAAGTTGTTAAAAAAAATTTCATTTTAAGAATGTTCTTCTGATTTTCTAATCATTCGTGGAGCCAAAATAGTCATTTGTTTTTGACCACAGTGATAAGAAAATTCAAAGAGGCAGGATGGAACATTTTTCTTTGCATGAGCGAATTTCTATCAACGTATGTGGTTCTTGCTTGGCAAATTACATTCACTTCAAAATCAAGTAAAATTTTAGAGGTGCCCAATGACATTTGTTTAGTCAAATGTACAAGGAATATTTGGATGAATTTTTGTTTGAATGTTCGTACAAATGGCCATATGAACTTTTGTTTGAAACTCTACTAGTGTATAACCTGCTTTAACCTAAAAAGCTGAAATAAGCAAGTGGGCAGAATTCTAAAAGCTCAGGGCCTGCCTCAATTGAAACAAAAAGAAAGCGCACCAACCTTGCGCATTACCGCAATAAACTATGATTTTATTAAAATGAGATATATACTCATAAACAAAGCAGTCATATCAAAATATAGATAGATAGATAGATAGATAGATAGATAAATAGAAGAGGGCACTCAGTTTTGTTAGCTGAGGAAGAAAGGACCCCCTTCGAAACGCGTAGCCTCGCACTGGTTTTGCACTTCAAAAGTTCCTTTGAGGATCTTATACACTTGTTTTACTGCTTTGTTTGTAAGTATATATATCTCTAATTTTAATAAAATCTCAGTTTATTGAGGTAATGCGCAAGGTGGGTGCACTTTTTGTTTTACTTTGCAGTACTGGTCGGGCTTCCCCAGCCTTGTTAAGAGCTGCACAACCTTTGATCTATTGGTGTATGAACTTTCATAAGTGGTCTATCCACCCACTTTTCTGTATCATTTGATTTCTGTATCTTCCATTGCACTCTGTTAGACAGTAAGCTCTATTATTTACTGCATCCTCCCTTATACCCAAATAGATTGTAAACTCTTCCACCTACTGTATCCTTCCTTATACCATAATAGATTGTAAGCTCTTCTACCCTCTCTATCCTCCCTTAGAACATAATAGATTGCAAGCAATTTTGCTATCTGTATCCTCTGTCATACCCATTAGACAGTAAGCTTGATCATCTTCTGTATACTCCCTTACACCCAGAGTAAACTCTTTCACTTGCTGTATCCTCCCTTAAAAGAATATGTAAACCGAACATTTCATATACCTGATGTGTGTCTGATGTACTATGTACTTGTATGAAAACGTATCCTGTTCTCTTTGTATTGCTCCCTTTGTGAGAAATCCCTGGTGTTCCTGCCAGTGCCTCTGCTTTCCTAATAAAACTGACCACACTAAGCATAAAAGAACAGTGTGGTCAATTATCTATCTTTGCTAGAACTGAGCTTGCTCTCCTCCAATGATCAGACTTGTCCTGACACACCCCCCCCCCCCTACCTGGCACAGCCATTCAGTAGGAAGTTCAGTGTATTGCTGTTTCTCCTCCCCCAGATATGCAGCTGAGAACAGAGGGAATGTGATCACTTATAAAAAAAAAGTGAAAAAAGTGTTTGGAATGCTTTTTTATTTATACACAAATGTTTTGCCTTTCATTTCTATTGTAAACTTAATGGGTTGTTTTACAAGGTGAGGGATTACATACACTCACCGGCCACTTTATTAGGTACACCTTGCTAGTACCAGGTGGGATGCCCTTTCGCCTTCAAAACTGCCTTAATTCTTCATGGCATAGATTCAACAAGGTGTTGGAAACATTCCTCAGAGATTTTGGTCAATATTGACACGAGTTACTGTTGCCTTTCTATCATCTCGAATCAGTCTGCCCATTCTCCTCTGACATCAAAAAGGCATTTTCGTCCACACAGCTACCACCCACTGGATATCTTCTCTTTTCGAACCATTCTCTGTAAACCCTAGAAATGGTTTTGCTTGAAAATGCCAGTAGATCAGCAGTTTTTGAAATACTCAGAACAGCCCATCTTAGACCAACAGCCATGCCACATTCAGGTCACTTAAATCCCTTTTCTTCCCCATTCTGATGCTCGGTTTGAATTTCAGCAAGTTGTTTTCACCACATCTACTGTAGATGCCTAAATGCATTGAGTTTATGCCATGTGATTGGCTGATTAGCAATTTGTGTTACCAAACAATAGGACAGGTGTACCTAATAAAGTGGCTGGTGAGTGTATACTTTAGACTGGCCATACACTAGCAGAAGTTTCTTCCAAATGTTTCATTCTAAGTAAATACATTTGATTTTCTAAGTATTTAAATCAGATTTTATTTAATGGTATTTTTCAAAGTAAAATGCAAGATAATAGCATTTCAAAGAAGACATAAATAAGAAAGATACAATCCAATTCAGCTCAAGATCAGTAAGAGTCACATCAGCAGTATTACTTGGATATTGGGGCGTTGTGAAGGGCGGCTGAGGACATTAATGAAAACACTAAAAACTGTAATGGAGGGGCTCAGGACAGTTAGGGGAGGGGAGCAGGACAGCTAAGGGGGGGTGGATTAGGAGACAGTTAAGGGGGGGTGGATTAGGAGACAGTTAAGGGGGAGCTCAGGACAGTAATGGGGGGGCTCAGGTCAGTTAAAGGGGAAGATCAGGACAGTAATGGAGGGCCTATGACAGTAATGGGGGAGCTCAGGACAGTAATGGGGGGGCTGAAGAGAGTAATGAGGGGGCTGAGGACATTAATGGGGTCACTGAGTACAGTAATGAGGGTCTAAGGACATTAATGGGGTCACTGACAGTAATGAGGGGCTGAGGACATTAATGGGGTCACCAAGGACAGTGATGAGGGTCTGAAAACATTAATGGGGTCACCGAGTATAGTAATGAGGGTCTAAGGACATTAGTGGGGTCACTTAGGACAGTCATGGGCAGGGCTTAGGATAAAAATGAGGGACTGAGGACATTAATGGGTCACTGAGGACAGAGTCCTCTGAGGACTGAGGATGCTGATGTAAGAACAGGATTGTGATATGAGGTTCAATTCAGATATGTGCATGTTGCACATCACGGGTAGGGCAGCCCATTCATTTTAATGGGCTGCCCTACCCGTGAGAAACGCAGGGAAAAAAGTCCTAACCCTTTTTCCTTTTTTAATCGCATCACATACCACGTGGTTTGCTGCAAGCGAAAATGTGCTGCAGGTGCCAATGTGTGGGGGTGCCATTAAGAATTAATGGCAGCCTCTAATGGTGTTTGACAGGCTGCTGGTAGCAAGGCTAGACGGTGCACTTGTACTATCTGCCCGCACTGAAATGCTGGAAATAAACACCCAGAATGCATGAGGTCTTATCACTGGTAGGTCCCTGTAAAAATGTTACACTGACACTTCATAATAAAAGTACCCAATGTCTAATCCAGAAGTATCCATAGTTAACTTTTTAGTAATTTTATGGTTCACAAAATCTGTTGAAAATTATAAAGCTTTAAAACGCTTTTCCAGAATTTGTCGTTGAACAGGTTTTTAGTTACACCTTGGTGTCATGTTCAGTTTTCAAACTGTGGACAAACCAGACAAGCTGCACTGCATGATAAAATATGTCAGAAAAACAAAGATCTTAGTACAGCTGCAAAGATTATAGTTTCTTCATGCCCAACTAACTACAGTGACTAAAATACAAACACATACACAGTAATTACAGGTATTAGTTGTCTGTTTCTATTTAAGGTTTTCTGGTTTACAGATCAATAAAATGTTGCTGTTATTAGCAGAATCTACAGTACTTGGGATTTGAATTGCTCATTAAAAAGTACCCATTCATTTCAATCACTTCCTGAAGAAAAATCTGCTATAAGATCAATAAAATATAGACTAACATCACACAACAAACACCAGAACCTGTGTATATATTTTACAATGAAAACTACAAGAAAACAAAATTCGTCAGCTATGGACTACAAACAGCAGTAAAAAAAAATAACAACAACAATTACAAATATTATTAAGAGGACATAATATTTTACCTAAATAAAATATACCATACATATCTGTTAAAATTTGTAATGCTAATCCAACAGTGATTCTGGCATCAACATAGACAAGTTTCAGCTTCTGGATCAAGCCAAGTGCTCCTCTTCTCATGACCTGCACATAAGACTCCTTTGCTTACATGTCTGAATGCTTCTTGTATGCCTGTCTCCTGTTTCCATTTGGAACCCCAGAGGCACCCAGAGATGTAAGAAAATAAGTTCTACATGTCCGTCACGTGAAATGGATCAGTCAGATAAATTCACAAGCAGAAATACAGAAGCAGGGGTACATTTGGGGAATAGGACAGTCATGCTCTTGGCAGTTCCTTGTGACAGGACAGTCTCTTGTACCATGATGGTCTTTGGTAATGTGGAAGTCTCGGATAATATGGCAGAAAACTTTGATAATATGGTAGTCTTTTGGAAACAGAGTTTTTTAATATGACTGTTACCCATTACATGGCTGTCATATGGCAGTTGACACAATAGGTTTCCAGGGGTGATGTAGATATTAAGTGTGCAGGTCATCTTGTAGGCACTACTGGGACACTGATTGCAGGTATATCTACAGAAACTGATCTCAGAATTGTCTAATATGCAGCTAACTGATAAAAAGAATTAGAGTTAAATATCTAGTGGTGGAGGGGGAGACTGAAGTTATAAGTAAACCAAATATCTATGCAGATGTCATGGTCTGTATGTGTGCATTTGACTGTGAAGCAAGAAGATTTTAAGACCCAAAATATTTTTCAAACCGTTGGGGTTAGTAGGTTGAGCACCCCAAATGCTTTTTTTAATTTTTTGGGTGGTACAGTATGCAACCCTACTTTCAAGAAGCAGTTTTTAGGAACCCAAGAGAGCAGGGGTTTTTTTTGCTAAGACATGGCTGTTTCAGGCTAAGCTTCAAACGTTACCTGATAAAATTGATTTCCATATTTTTCATGGCAAAACGGTCACAAGAAAAGTGATGCAACCACTAGTATCACTATCTATTAAATTATCCATAGGAATATGCGGAATGTTTCTGCACCAGTATCACTGACCGCTAGTCTGAACATCTAAGGAATAGGTATTTCAATAATCTGTCACTTAACTTTCAATTGTTTAAAAAATATTCACAACTTTTGGTCATTAGGGCAGTACCAACCCTAAGCAGTTGAGGAAATGGATTAATCAAATTCTATTCTTAAATAGTAAATCCATTCTACATGTGCTACCCCCCCCCCCCCCCCCCTAAACATATGTGGATAAATTAGCAGAGGTCTGTTATTCAATAAAGTATTTTTCAATAATAAGTCCAATAACACTGGTGTGTGGCATCATCCCCAATTCCTTACCATCTAATTCCATAGTTGACAAGAGGGATCATTAAATTGTCTGTAAAAAGGAAACACAATGCAATCAGAATTGCTCCAATGCAATTTGAAAATGTAGCTCATCACTTGGAACCTACATTATCTACTGTTCATGAAACTGACAGAAAAAGTTCTTACTTACTGCTTGTCACCTCTGGGTTTCCCTTTAGATTCATCATTCGGGGAATGGACGGTCCATATACATCAGCATCCAATAAGCCGACTGACTTTACCTAGATGTAATAACTTGATATCTTATTTTTCAAATGTGAATTACTAAAATATACAGTTATCACGGAACTATCCACTGTTAGTACTCAGGAGGCTCTCATGTGAGTATATAAAACAACATCCCTGGACAAAACAAGAAATAAGAAACCCAAGAAACATTTAGGAAGCCAACAATATAAAGTGAATGCAGCAACAGTGCTGAAAGTGGACCTGGGGGGGGGGGGGGGGGGGGGGGGTCTTTGATGTTTGAAAGTGTCCTTATATTTTTAAAACCGGACTTTGCACTACAATGCACATCTGATTATTCAGTAATTTACTACCACCCATGTCAACTGTTACATTTCCTCCTTTAAAAAAACTGTGAAAAAATTTAAACAAATATACTTACCTTACACCCAGCTTCCACATTGGAAAGGGTGAAGTCACGATTGTTATGGTGAAATTCTGGGAGAGTGTAGTATCCCAAATCTAAGGAGAATTGCACAGTGCTGGAGCATCTTCTAGCAAAATGGGATGTGCATCATAACTAGCAATTTGTTGAAAATATTGTGACATCATCCTCACCAAGGTTCTGCAAAAGGAGGCTAGGTGTAAGGTATGTATTTTTAACTTTTCCCCACTGTTTATTATGTTTAATCTTGTTTTAAAGGAGTAAATGCAGCTACTTTGCACTAGGTGGTGGTTCAACATCAAATAAGTGGTCCTTGCATTTTAGTTGCAAGGTCCCCTTTAAGGCACAAGTTCACTTTTAAACAAACATCCACTAGCCTGCCTTCCTATCCCCCTAACCCAATTTTGCCTTGAACCCAACCACCATCTAGATGCTTACTTACCTCTCTATGACAGGGCTGGCCTGCTCCTTGTATTGGCCATATCTGTGACTTGACTCCCTATAGACTTGATTAGGGTCATATGCTTAACTACAGATACCAGTATTTCAGCTCCATTAAAGTCTATGAGGAGACATTATGTTGGTGTGGGTAGCACTGGAGAAAATTTCAGGCCAAAAGAGAGTAAACACTGGAGGAGGCCACCACTGTCATGGGGAGGCAAATAAACAAAACCTAGAACTCTACCATTCAGATGTTTAAAGTGTTACTAAACCCACAACAGTAAAATCAGTCTGTATATGCAAGTAAAGCATGCTTGTTATACTCACTGGGGAAATTAAGGAGTTAAGGAGGTATTGTGAAAAAGGGCTGTTTATCCTATCTTCTCTGCCCCTCCTCTTGTTCAAATGTTAACATCTTATCTACCGTTAAGACAGACTGAACCCGTAGCCATTCTGCACATGCTCAGTTTAGTGTGTATTGCTAGAGGTTTTTTTTTTCTTGGGAGAGGACATGTGATCAGCACAGGGCCAATCAGCATAGTCCAGACAGAAGTCAGGAGTTTTGCATCCTCCGAGAGGAGAAAGAAAGCTCCTCCTACAAGCTGTAACCAGTACTCTGCTGAATACTGATAGAAGTCACAGGACTGCTCTAACTGCTGATGAGTAAAACGTATTTATCAGTTTATATTTACTAAAATAATTGCACTTCCATGTTTTGTGTACTGTGGGAGACCAGATATAGTGAATGCAGGGTCCTGGGTTTAGTAACAATTTAAGTTAGGAGACTAGGGATTGTGGGCTATTTTTTTTTAAGCAAACTTGTCCTTTAAATCAGAACCTTCATTCTGTTTGTATTAATCCAATTTCTGTGTAGCCCCAGCTGAACAGGAATACACAGACTCAAAAAGGGTCAGTTGGAAGTAGCATACTTTCAGATACCTGTGCAAAAAAAACTTAAAATAAATAAATGCAATAAATGAATAAAAAGGTTTTAGCTATACGCATTAAGATTAACCACTTCAAGTCCAGACACTTTCACCCCCTTCCTGTCCAGGCCAATTTTCAGTGCTATCACACTTTGAATGACAATTGCGCGGTCATGTAACACTGTACCCATATGAATTTCTTAGAATTTTTTTGAGACAGATAAAGCTTTATTTTGATGGTATTTATTCATCTCTGGGATTTTTATTTTTTTTGCTATATAGATGAAAATGTCCCAAAAATTAGAAAAAACGTGTTTTTTTCATATAAACATTTGCAAATACATAGTCTTTCTTCATAAATCTTTTTACATTTTTATATTATTAATTTATGGGTTTTTTTTTTCTCACATACTGTCACCCTAGCAGTACAGTGTCACCATGGTGACACAGCTGATCACGTGACGTGGTAAAAGGCCAATCACAGTGGCCTTTTACCATGTGATCAGCCGTGTCCAATGACATGCTGATCACCGGGAAATGCAAATGCCGGTTCTCGGCTGCACTTTCCTCACGCTGTCAGATCGTGAGAAAAGTGCTGCCGAAAACCGGCAGTTGTCAGAGCGGGAATCGGCACCGATCATCAGGGTCACTGATCATCAGTGCCCTGATGATCGGTGCCCAGCAGTGCCACACACAAGTTCCGCCCACCTGTGCCCAGCAGTGCGCCCACCTGTGCCCAGCAATGCACCCACCTGTGCCCAGCAGTGCCGCCCACCTGTGCCACCCAGCAGTGTCACCACCTGTGCCCAGAAGTGCCACCTACCTGTGCCCAGAAGTGCCACCCACCTGTGCCCAGAAGTGCCACCCACCTGTGCCCAGAAGTGCCACCCATCAGTGCAGCCCAGCAGTGCTGCCAGTCAGTGCCACCAGTCAGTGCCCAGCGGTTGTGCCAGTCAGTGCGCAGCAGTGCCGCCAGTCAGTGCCCAGCAGTGATGTCAGTCAGTGCCACCTATCAGTGCTGTCTATCAGTACCCATTATCAGTGTCGCCTATCAGTGCCACCAATCAGTGCCGCATATCAGTGCCACCTATCCCTGACACCTCATTAGTGCTGCCTATCAGTGCAGCCTATCCATGCCACCTCATTAGTGCTGCCTATCAGTGCCCATCAGTGCTGCCTCATCAACGCACATCAGTGAAGGAGAAAAATTACCTGTTTGAAAAATTTTATAATAGAAACAAACAAAGAAACTTTTTTTTTTCAAATTTTTTTGCACTTTTTTTGCTTATAGCACAAAAAGTAAAGCGCCCAGCAGCGATTAAATACCACCAAAATAAAGCTCTATTTGTGAGAAAAAAATGATAAAAATTTCATATGGGTACAATCTTGCATGACCGTGCAATTGTCAAAGTGCAAAAGCGCTGAAAGCTGAAAATTGGCCTGGTAAATAAGGGGGTATAAGTGCCCGGTAGGCAAGTGGTTAAAACCCTTCACAAATATAATTAAATGAAAAATAAATATTTGACTTACATGTTCACTAGCTGCAAATCCCAATGCCAGATTAACTGATAAAAAACAAAAATGAAACATTCAAATGCATCAAACACTTTAACACAAAAGACATAAAAAAATTATATGTGTGCGGTCCTATGCCATATCCTGTATGTGTAACGTGATGATGAATGTTTTGTATGAATGTTAGACTGGATTCTCGCCTATGTCTTTTCCTTTTCATGCAATTCAGTTAATGGAAACACATGAAAGTGCATGTCACCACACATTAACATGCATTGCTGCATGTTTTAATGCTTGTTCCAGTGCACTGTGTGTTGGATGTCAATGTGTGTCATAATGCGCAACGATGTCAGTCATGAATCTTTTACGTGTATCATGACATGTCCACATGTGCATAAGTTGAGAGGCATTTTTATTTGTTTCTACTAATGCCAATGGTGTGAAAACACATAGTGGCTTTGCTCCACACCATTTTTTGTATGGGGTAAGCAATGCAAAATATTATTCTTAGATATTTTTTCAAGTGGATGAGATAAAAATATTAGCAGGGTGCTCAAAAAGAAAAATAAGGCACGGTAAAAATCAAAGAGAAATGGAAAACTTGGACAAAACACATGTTTTTTCGCACTCACACAATATAATTTTTGCCTTTCTAAACATATATAGGGATTTAATCAAATCAATATGTGCAATGCATTTTTAGTCTATGGTTGAAAAACTGTGAAAATGTTAATACCAAAAAAAAAAAAAAACCTGCTCCTGTCTAAAAATGCATTTCAAGTAAAAAATTCTATTTTTTCCTACAGGGATGGTTCACATCAATGCACTGCAGCTTACTGTGAAAGGTAAAGGGAACAATATGGGCCTATTCACACCTATGCGTGTGCGTTATCATGCGGTAATATGAATCCTGCCTTAAAGTTAAACCTAAATAATGGCCCTAAGTGTATTCTTCACCTCTAAGGAGTGTATACTTAAAGAGGAAATTCACTGAGCTTTTTTTTTTCCCTTTTTTTTTTTTTTTTTATTAAAAGTCAGCAGCTACAAATACTGTGGCTGCTGACTTTTAGAAATCAGGTACTTACCATTCCATGGATTCCAGTGAAATCTTCCTGCAGCCAATTCTTCTCACAACTGCAGGTCCCTGGTGCTATCATCTTGGATTTGAGAGCCAGCTGTGGCTTCCCGATGAATCACAGCTGGCTCCCCACTGAGCATACATAAGATTGCACAGCACAGGGAGACTGGTTCTGTAGCCTATTGGGACATGTTACATGTTCCAGGAGGCCAAGGGAAGGGAGGGGGACGGGATGGATGAATGACTAGAAAGGATTGTGGAAGTAGAAGTGGGTACAGAAAAAAAAAAAAAAAAAAAAAAAGGTCCTCGCTCCTCTCAAAAAAACTTGCAACTCAGTTACAGGTTGGGGAGTATAAGCGGGGCTTCATTTTTTGAGTGAAGGACTGCTTTACTATGTCCCAAGTAATAGGTAGAATATAACTGGATACTAACATTTATAGGTAAGGTTGATCCAGGGAATATCCGATTGCCTCTCGGGGGATCAGGAAGAAATTTTTTTCCCAGCAGGAGCAAATTGGATCATGTTTTGCTGGGCTTTTTTGCCTTCCTCTGGATCAACTGTGGGTATAGGATTATAACTTTTTTTTTTCAATGGTTGAACTGGATGGACTTTTGTCTTTTTTTAGCCAGATTAACTATGTATGTAACTATGTAAGTACATCCTAACTGCATGCACGTGTGTGCAGGCTCTTTAACATTTATTAATGTTTTCAACTATTCATTTAATACAATTTAATTAAATCCCCCTATGTAAGTGCAGAGGCAATGACAGGTACTCTTTATGGAGACATAAAGACCCCTACCTTCAGCCAGTGCAGATCTGGAAAACAGAGTCCTCAATCTGCAGTTTTCCTAGCTTCTGCCCCTGCTGCCATGATTATGACAACTCTGTTCCCAGAAGTGCCCAGAGCTGAGAGGATGAGTTGATTTAACCTAAAGGAGATCCCATTCAGTGACCTTCTCCTGTTCTTCATTCTGAATCCCCCTGCACTGGCCTTTGGCTCACTGAGGATTTATGAAATGCCCACATGGGACATTTTCACTGTGATCCAGACATATACTTTACAAACTTGGTATGTGTTTTGACCAGTCTACTTTCTGTATAAAACAAACATTTCAGGTCTCCATATAAATATCTGATTTACCTGCAGTAGTGGACTTGCCAACACCTCCTTTGCCTGAAGCTACAACCAAAACGTGCTTAACTCCACAAATTGGCTTCTGCTTTGGCAAACCACGAGCCATCACCTGTGTCTGTCTGTCCTTGAGCTTCTCTTCTGGAGATGTTGCCGACTACAAATCAGAGAACATAACAAATCACAGACTGGAAATTAGATGGACACCAAATAAGCTACATTACCTACTGGCAAATACTGGCTCTATTAGAGTCAGTAACTAAAAGCCAAAGATTACATCTGCCAAGGTTAGCACAGTTATGAGAACTGTCCTACAGCATCAGATTGTAAAAACGAACAATAGGAACTTAACTTGACATTGGACAGTAATTGGAATTTGGACAAAAGCTGTTAATGTGGCTACAGCTATTAAACAGTGGTGACTGTAGTAATACAAGCAGTCCTTTATCCCCCAAGTACTACTGAAATGTCATCCAAACCTGTCATTATCACCGATATTGGGCAAAGGGCATCTTCAGTGGATGAATTAGGCAGGGGGCATTCTGGTTTACCAGCATATCAATCGTCTATATCATTACATTACATCTGGTTTTACAAGTAGTAACTAAACTCTTTCAAACATTAACTATTAATAATCCTTGTGTAATTTTGGAGGGGGGGGAGGGGGTACCTAGTTTTGACAGGTACGTGCTCCCACTTCTGCTCAGATCACCTAGGATGTGGCTGTTGTGTTGGGGGGGGGCTTTTTTAAAAGAAAAGAATCAAGCCCCCATTAAAATAACAGCATGAGGAACATATAATGAGTCATAGTAACGTCTTCTGCCCCGCCTCAAATCACTTCCCCTCACAGTAGTATCCTCTGCCCCCCCTCACAGTGGTGTCCTTTGCCCCTTTTCACATCATCCCCCCAGTAATGTACTCTGCCCCTTCACTGTAGTTTCCCCTGCCCACCCACACACAGTAGTATCCTCTGCCCTACCACATAGTAATGTCCTCTGCACCCCCCCACCCCACAGTAGTGTTCTCTGCCCCTCCTCCATAACACTGTCCTCCGCACCCTCCTCCATAACACTCATGTCCTCCGCACCCTCCTCCATAACACTCATGTCCTCCGCACCCTCCTCCATAACACTCATGTCCTCCGCACCCTCCTCCATAACACTCATGTCCTCCGCACCCTCCTCCATAACACTAATGTCCTCCGCACCCTCCTCCATAACACTAATGTCCTCTGCACCCCTTCAAAGCACTGACCTCTGCACCCTCTTCCATAACACTAATGTCCTCTGCACCCTCCTCCATAACACTAATGTCCTCTGCACCCTCCTCCATAACACTAATGTCCTCTGCACCCTCCTCCATAACACTAATGTCCTCTGCACCCCTTCAAAGCACTGACCTCTGCACCCTCTTCCATAACACTAATGTCTTCTGCACCCTCCTCCATAACACTAATGTCTTCTGCACCCTCCTCCATAACACTAATGTCTTCTGCACCCTCCTCCATAACACTAATGTCTTCTGCACCCTCCTCCATAACACTAATGTCTTCTGCACCCTCCTCCATAACACTAATGTCCTCTGCACCCTCCTCCATAACACTAATGTCTTCTGCACCCTCCTCCATAACACTAATGTCTTCTGCACCCTCCTCCATAACACTAATGTCCTCTGCACCCTCCTCCATAACACTAATGTCCTCTGCACCCTCCTCCATAACACTAATGTCCTCTGCACCCTCCTCCATAACACTAATGTCCTCTGCACCCTCCTCCATAACACTAATGTCCTCTGCACCCTCCTCCATAACACTAATGTCCTCTGCACCCTCCTCCATAACACTAATGTCCTCTGCACCCTCCTCCATAACACTAATGTCCTCTGCACCCTCCTCCATAACACTAATGTCCTCTGCACCCTCCTCCATAACACTAATGTCCTCTGCACCCTCCTCCATAACACTAATGTCCTCTGCACCCTCCTCCATAACACTAATGTCCTCTGCACTCTCCTCCATAACACTAATGTCCTCTGCACCCTCCTCCATAACACTAATGTCCTCTGCACCCTCCTCCATAACACTAATGTCCTCTGCACCCTCCTCCATAACACTAATGTCCTCTGCACTCTCCTCCATAACACTAATGTCCTCTGCACCCTCCTCCATAACACGAATGTTCTCTGCACCCCTTCAAAGCACTGACCTCTGCACCCTCCTCCATAACACTAATGTCTTCTGCACCCTCCTCCATAACACTAATGTCCTCTGCACCCTCCTCCATACCACAAATGTTCTCTGCACCCCTTCAAAGCACTGACCTCTGCACCCTCCTCCATAACACTAATGTCTTCTGCACCCTCCTCCATAACACTAATGTCCTCTGCACCCTCCTCCATAACACTAATGTCCTCTGCACCCTCCTCCATAACACTAATGTCCTCTGCACCCTCCTCCATAACACTAATGTCCTCTGCACCCTCCTCCATAACACTAATGTCCTCTGCACCCTCCTCCATAACACTAATGTCCTCTGCACCCTCCTCCATAACACTAATGTCCTCTGCACCCCTTCAAAGCACTGACCTCTGCACCCTCCTCCATAACACTAATGTCCTCTGCACCCTCCTCCATAACACTATCTTCTGCACCCTCCTCCATAACACGAATGTCCTCTGCACCCCTTCAAAGCACTGACCTCTGCACCCTCCTCCATAACACTAATGCCCTCTGCACCCTCCTCCATAACACGAATGTCCTCTGCACCCCTTCAAAGCACTGACCTCTGCACCCTCCTCCATAACACTAATGCCCTCTGCACCCTCCTCCATAACACTAATGTCCTCTGCACCCTCCTCCATAACACTAATGTCCTCTGCACCCTCCTCCATAACACTAATGTCTTCTGCACCCTCCTCCATAACACTAATGTCCTCTGCACCCCTTCAAAGCACTGTTCTCTGCACCCTCCTCCATAACACTAATGTCCTCTGCACCCCTTCAAAGCACTGACCTCTGCCCCCCCCCTCCATAGCACTGTCCTCTGCATTCCTCCCGTCCCGTAACAGTAGCATCCACTGCCCCCTCCATTGCACTATCCTCTGCACACCCCCCTCTTCCCCAGGAGTGTCCTGTGCCCCCATAGCTGTTTCCTCTGCCCCCCCTCCATAGTGCTGTCCTCTGCATACCCCCATCTTCCACAGCAGTGTCCTCTGCCCCCCCCGAAAGAAGTGTTCTCTATCCCCAAATGTAGTAACACAGCCGTGTGTAGGTGGCCCTCTCCTTCCTTACACAGGCTGTACATCAGAGCAATTGGCAGCTCAGTGCTGGGTGGATGGCAGGAGCTGTCAGAGTTAACTTTGCATGTTAACAAGCGAATGATTGGTTGGTAGAACTGCCTAGCAACCAATCACCTGCTGGTTAATTTGCAAAATTAACTAATGTAGCTCCCGCCCTCCATCTGGCACTGTTTTGCCTCTCGCTCCACTCTACTATTAAAGCGCCGGAGGATGGGAGTTTAGCTCTGCTTTATTGTACAAATGTTTAATTTAAAAACTTGCAGATATTAAAATATGAGCGGCCAATAAAGAGAAGTGGTGCTAAAGCTAGCCAGGCTAGAATAAGCCAAATACTGTGCTGGTATTCTATAGAAATTCTGTATTGCTTACTTGCAATTGATTCTCCCAATGGCATTCTTTTCATTGTTCTAGTGTAACTTTGCATCTCTGCTGGAGGTATTCTAATACTTTTGGAACAAATCTACTGCATACTGCCAGTTCTAATAAAGTGTCAGCCCACCCAAAAGACATTTCAGTTCTTGCCAGTGCCTTCGAACTACTAATGTCTTCTAAAGCACGCTCACAGAGACACTCGCTCGTTCTCCTGAGTTTACAACTTTTCTCCCCATGTTGAAGCCATTATAAGGGGCTCCTATTCTCCTTTCATCCGTATGTGGAATGCAGTAGGTGGAATGAGGTGGGAAAGGGAAGAGCCAGGAATTTGGACCGGGGAATCTGGCTGCTAGAGACATTAAGAGATTTAAAGTGAACCTGACCTGGCCTAAGTTTTTTACTAAGATAACAATAGCGCTGAAGAGCACTTCTGAAGCCTCTGAGAATGCTAGACCCAGGGTGTACAGAGGGCCTGGATTCTGCACAGACAATATGACGCTTTAGGCACATCTACAACATGTATTGCATTACTCAAAGCCAGGGGCGGACTGACAACTCATGGGGCCCCCGGGCAATAGGGGATCATAGGGCCCCTGTGTCCTTGACCAAACTCAAAAAAGCCTATGAAAAAGGTACCAGGGGCATCTCATGGGGCCCCCTACTGACCCAGGGCCCTCGGGCAGTGCCCGAGTTTCCAAATGGTCAGTCCGCCCCTGCTCAAAGCCCATCCCACCCAGCCTAATAGGATAACCAGGGGAAATGGTAAGTGTGACAAAGTAGCTATACGATCACAAACATAGTGTGTGCCTCTTTAATGTAAGCATATCATTACAACAGACACAAAATACCTGCACCAGCCTTTAGGGCTTGTTCACACCAAATGTGGTGAAATTATGCCAAGCAGCGTACCCCAGTGCAGTCCTATCAAAAACAAGGAAAAATGCCTTGCTTCCTAGCAGGCCAGTTCACATCAGCCCATTGCGATGGTATGCAGTGTAAAAAAATAAAAATATATCATGCATTACTTCTTTTCAAAACAATGTGGTGCAATGTAGTCCATCACATCACTCAACAGTGTGGCTAACAACCCATGCAGTTTAAAATAGAATTTAAAGTCAAAACATGTGTATATATATATATATATATATATATATATATATATATATATACACATATACATATACACACACACACACACACACACACACACACACACATTATATATACACACATATATATATATATACACACACACACATATATACCTATACATACATTCTGCTGGCACTGGGGAGCTACAGTTCATTGAGGGAACCATGAATGCCAGTAGGTACTGTGACATACTGAAGCAGAGCATGATCCCCTCCCTTCAGAGACTGGGCCGCAGGGCAGTATTCCAACATAATAACAACCCCAAACACACCTCCAAGACTACCACTGCCTTGCTAAAGAAGCTGAGGGTAAAGGTGATGGACTGGCCAAGCATGT